ACCACCAGCTCCAGCACCTCCAGCATCTCCAGCTCCAGTAACACCTCCAGCAGCAACAACACTAGCGCCTCCAGCTCCAACTCCGGGAGCACCACCAGCCTCAGCAGCTCCAGTACCTCTCAAGGACTATCTTGTAAAGCAGGGTGTTTCTCACACCACCCAGCTTTGAGGGGGGGTCGTGTGAGAGTACGACGGCTTATGCCAGCTATGCTTGCTTGCCTTTACTTTATCATGCTATTTCTAGCATAGGATATTTATATGCATGCATGAATTGCTTGATATCCTAGGCTAGGTGCTTTCCTATATTTTATTATAGTTATAGCACCGAGCTAGGTTGCGTGCACCGAATTCTGGCTTTTCGGTTGCCACCGAATTGCCTTCTACCGAATTCGGGAAGGATCTGTTCGGGACGCTTCGCGACCCGCGGAACCTTCGCGTAACACCAGGTTACGGGGCCTTGTGTCGAGCCTATATATAGCCTCGTGTTGTACCCAGGTGATCATTCAATTCAATTCACATTCTCTTTTCTGAGCTTGATCCTAGATCCTCACAAGAACCCTCAGCAGCTCCAGAACCCTCAGTGCCAGCGCCTACAGGACCTGCTCCACCACCAGCAGCACTCCCAGAACCGACACCTCTAGTCCCAGGGTCTCCAGCCTCAGCACCTCTAGCTCTAGTGACGCCAGCAGAAGTACCTCCAGCGGCAGAGCCTCGAGCTCCAGAAGGGCGACCCTGACAGCAACCGTACCAGTCGTGCAGCTGCTGTGAGGTGAGAGGCACACGCGGACGAAGGCGGCTACTCCAAGGAGACCGTGCAACAGCAGACTCAGAACCCTCAGCGCCAGCACCCGCAGCACCTCCAGAACCTCCAGCTCCAGCACCCTCAGCAGCTCCAGAACCTCCAGCAAAAACAACTCCAGTAGTAGAGTCACCAGCTCCAGCGCCCCCCTCAGTAGGGCCCCTAGCTCTAGCAGCGCATCCCTGTCGGCTAACGTACCACTCAAGCAGCTGCTGTGGGGAGAGAGGGAGTCGACAACGAGAGTGCAGCGGCGAGGTACCAGCGGAGAGACTACGGAGACGGTCACCCCAGGGAGACTTCTCACCAAACGCCTCAGCGCCCCCAGGTGCAGCACCCCCAAACTCAATACCCCCAGGCTCAACACCCCCCGACTCCTCATGCCCAGGCTCAGCACCTCCAGTCCCCGCACCCCCAGGCTCTGCACCTCCAGGCTCCGCACCCCCAGGCTTAGCACCCCCAGGCTCAGCACCCCCAAGCTCAGCACCCCAAGGCTCAGCACCCCCAGAAGCAGCACCCCGAGCAGGACCTGAGTCACTAGGGACCTCAACCGGCGCAATCAAGAGAGGAGGGTCTACCTGAGACGCACCTGAAGGAGCAGGACCGGGAGCGGGGAGCGGGTCTACCTGGGGAGCACAAGGAGCGAGGAAGAACGCCAGAGGGGGGAGAGGCGCAGTGCGGCAGGGGAAGAGATGGTAAAAGGGAACCGACTCGTCGAACGTGATGTTTGGAGAGAGGAAGACACGGCACGAGGTGGGGTGGTAAAACTACCAACCAGGCGCGTCACGGACAAAGCCAAGGAAGACATAGGGAACAGCGTAGGCGCAGAGCTTGTCCGCGGTGGTATCGCGGCCAAAGGCACGAGCACCCCAGACCCGGAAACGCGACGCATCGCCAACCTTCCCCGTCCACAGCAGTGTGGGCAAGGTCTCCGGCAAGGAGACACAGGGCCAGAGGTTTAGTTGATGTGCGGCATACCGGACCGCAAACAGCCACCGAAAATGGGGGGCAGCCGCATGGATCATGGAGGTACAAGCGACCTCCATGACCAGGCCAATGCGGCGCTCAGCAACCCCATTGTACTGCGGAGAGGCCGGAAGCGTGAACGTTTGAAGGATGCCGTGCTCCGCACTGAAGGTTGCCAAGAGGTCGGAGGAAAACTCCCCACCTCTGTCAGAGTGCAGACGCAGGACGGGAAACTCCGTCCTGAACCACTCGCGGCGCTGGAGACGAGTAGCGCGGATCCAAGGGATCAAAAGAGCAGGGACCTCACCCTTGGTGCGCAAGGGGAAGACCATGGTGTAACGCGTGTAGTCATCGACGACCAGCAGGAAGTACCGCTCGTGGCCCTGTCCATGGACGCGGGCTGGGCCCCACACGTCCAGGTGGAGAGTCTGCGGGGGAGCCTCTGTGGGAAGGAACGAGGAGGAGTGAGGAGCGGCGCGCTGCCGCCCCTCCACACAGGGAAGACAGGGAGGAGCAGGCGAGGGTGGCAGGGGAGGGAGAATCCTGGGAAGACCGGAGACAAGGACACGGCGATGCATGCTGCGAAGGCGCTGCACCGAGGGGTGACCAAGGCGGTGGTGCCAAAGGATGGTGTGGTGCGACAAGGCGCGACACGAGCAGGGGGCCGACAACTGACCTGACGCAGACGCAGCTATCTGAGGGGACTCAGTGGTCAGTGTGTACAGGCCCGACCCCGGCTGCCGAGTGAAGGTAGCCAGGTGACGACCCGTCTGAGCACACGTGCAGTGCGTCACATGCTCCTAGGCAAGGGTGAAATGGTGAATACCCGCGTCCTGGAGCGCAGAACCCGCCACCAAGTTCGTAGAAAACGAGGGGAGGTAAAGACCCGATAGTGTGCCGGACGGGACAGCAGGACAAGGGAGGACAGTGGTGGAGGTCGCACGGACCGGACCCCCAGAGGGGTCTGCCAGGGAGACTGCAACTAGCCGACTAAGCGGCGTGAGGGTGGTGCTGTCGCGAGAGAAGGAGCGAGAGGCACCGGAGTCAAGTGTGAAGGTGTACAAGGCCTCAGCAGGCGCAGTACCAGAGAGAGCAGACTCACCAGCACCTAGAGTAGCAGACTCTATACCTGGGTCAGGCGGTACGTACAGGGAACAGGATCGGTCAGCACTAGTAGGCAATGCATACATTGTAGTGAGAATAGCATCATAGACAAGAGCAAAGATATCTACCCTCTGCCTACGCAGCTCCACCCAATTGGGGAGCTCAGCGTTGTCGCCAAACTCTATACGCCAAGCGTCGCTCGGACGGGCGAAGCAGCAGGACTCTGTGCGACCAGGCGTCCCGCAATGCTGACCAGTCCGAACACCTGTGCGAATGATGTACGGGCAGCGAACGGTACTCAGAGACCCTCGACTCTGAGCGTACCATTCATGAAGCTGGTGGGGCGTGAGAGACTCGCGCGGACGTCGCTGGAGCTGCATCTGACCACTGCCAGTAGCAGCAGTAGCAGGAGTAGCAGTAGTAGCAGCAGTAACAGCAGTAGCAGCAGCAACAACAGTAGCAGCAGTACCAGCAGTAGTATCACGGCCACCCCTACAACCCCAACCAGCGTACCACTCACAAAGTTGCTGGGGCGTGAGGGTCTCACGTGGGCGTCGGTGGAGCTGCATCTGGCCACCGCCAGTAGCAGCAGTAGCAGTTGTAGCAGCAGCAGCGCGGGCAGGGCAGGCGCGGCAGGCAGGCAGGCAGGCAGGCGGGCAGGCAGGCAGGCAGGCTGAGGGCGCGGCAGTGCGCGAATAAGGCAGGTGCTCACCAGTGGTGGGAAGGGCCGGCGCTTGCCGGGCGAGCAGGGTCGGCACTCGGCGGGCGGCTGCACAGGGTCCAGGGGCGGCTGCTATAGGAGCCAGGGGCGGCTGCTCTGGGTCCAGGGGCGGCCGCTTGGGGGTCTAGGGGCGGCTGCACTAGGGGCGGCTGCTGCAGGGGCTAGGGGCGGCTGCTCTGGGTCCGGGGGCGGCTGCTTCAGGGTCCAGGGGCGGCTGCTCCAGGGGCGGCTGCTGCAGGGGCCAGGGGCGGCTGCTCTGGGTCCAGGGGCGGCTGCTCAAGGGTCTAGGAGCGGCTGCACCAGGGGCGGCTGCTGCAGGGGCCAGGGGCGGCTGCTCTGGGTCCAGGGGCAGCTGCTCGAGGGTCCAGGAGCGGCTGCACCAGGGGCGGATGCACCAGGGGCCAGGGGCGGCTGCTCTGGGGGCGTCGTAGCTGGTGCAAGGCAGCGCGCGGGGCCGGCAGCAGGCTGCGTGGGCGGTTGAAGTGGCGCGCGGGACCGAAAAAGGGGCTACGCGGGCGGCGGACGCGGCGCGCAGGGCCTAAGCGGGCTGCGCGCGGGCGGCGTACGCGGCGCGCGGGCTGGCGGCAGGCTGCGCGGGTGGCTGACGTGGCGCGCGGGGCCGAAAACAGGCCGAAACGGGCCTAAATGGGCTTCGCGTGGGCTGCTTAAGTGGCGCGCGCGGGAAAAAAAAAGGAGCCGCGCGCGTGCAACCGAGCCGCGCGCGGGCAGCATGCAAGGCAGGTAATCTTAGGTGGGCCCTAAACTTAGGTCCTAAAGACCTCTAGGCTCTAGATACCATCTTAGAAGTTAGCATGGAATTGTGTGTGTGATTAGGTCAATGGGAGGTACAAGAAGAATGTCGAGAGAAATATTGTATTTTGTAGTGCTAACCCCCATATAGCCTAGACAACCTAAACATAACATATAAATATAACTTGACACCTCTCAGCATGGGCGGTCCATCCAGTACAGTATCTCTCCATCCCCTTTCATCTCATTCAATCGCTCACATAACTCCTGCACGCCTGTAGCCAGAATCATATCCGTGCCTAGAAATACCACCTGGGGCACCTGCCAAATGATATCAGGCAGGAAAATTCTGCTCATGCCCGAGTGGTGCGTGGTGGGGACGGGCAGCGGCACGGCCAGCAAGCCAAGCAGCAGGGTTGTGGTGGAGGCTGAAGAGGAAAGGAGAGGGAGGCGTGTCAGAAGATAAGTGCTTCCAGTTGCGGTAGCCAACATCGTGGGAGGGAGAGCGGAAGGAGGAACCGGAGGGAGAAGAGGGGTAAGAGGGAAAACCGCTGCTGCTTGTGCTACTACTGCCACCGCTACTGCTACTGCTGCATGCAACCAGTCCAATCTAATCACCCACATTTGAAGGTACATGGATCGTTCGACACGGCATTCGGCACGTCATCGCTCACAAGCCATGGATTGGGTGAAGGGGAAGTGCCAGCGCTTCCCTCGAAGCAGAGGCAGCAGCTCAACTGGCACACCAGGCTCCTCCTCACACCCACTCACCCTCACCACCCTTAGCCTCTCCAACCCCGCCAGCCCCGCTGGCAGCTCACTCAGATGCGGCCAGCCAATCAGGTGCAGCTCCTCCAATTCCAAGCACCCGAGCAGAGTTGGGGGCACGTGAGTGAGAGGGGAGTCGCACAGGCGCAGGCAGCGCACGTGAGGAGGCCAGTTTAATGTCAGCAGTGGCAGACTCCTTTGCCATTTACGGCAGGGCAGGGGCATCTGCAGCGTGTCCAGAGCTGTGAGAAGGTGCAAGGGCGGTGGCACGTCCCTGTGCCAGTAGTACGGGTTGGGTGAGTCTAAGAGGAGGAACGACTGCGAGAGAATGAGCGTGCGCAGAGACCGAAGCAGCAGCAACGGCTCCCAGGGAACAGAAGGAACCATCCTGCCACGGTGTAACACGACTGTGTGGAGAGAAGGATAGAGCAGATGGTCGGCACGGGACAGCGCAAACCCTCCAGAGATGCGGGTGAGAGAGGGGAGCAGGGCAAGGTCTAGGTTGACTGAGTGGTTTGTGTGTGGGTCATCGGGAGGGGGGTTGCAGATGAGGGTATGCAGGTTGGGGAAGAGGGAGAAGGCGGGTGGTACGGCGCGGTTGCCCCAGCGCCAGTGGCAGGAGGTGATTCCGTGTAGCTCTAAGTGGCGCAGGGAGGGGTAGCAGTGAGTGTGCATGTGGGTGGTGGGCAGCTGTGGGTGAGATCGCAGCACCAGGGAGGTGAGACCGCGGGTGCGGTGCTGTGGTGCTTGCGATGGGTGCAAGCAGGAGCAGTGGCAGAAGGGAATAGGTGTACTTGCTCCTCCTGCTGCCCCATTGCTGCTGCCGCCACTCCCATCGCTGCTCTCCTCGCTTCTGCTGCTACTGTGGCACTCGCTCCTCATGCTGCCCCTACTGCTGCCACTGCCACTCCTGCTTCTCTGGCAGTCGCAGCAGTTGCAGCGCACGCGAATCCCACAGAAGCAGGGGCGGCAGGAGGGCGAAGGGCCAAAGTCAAGGAGGAGGTGTAGCTGCTTCAGACTGCAGTCTAGATGGGAGAGATGGGGCAACGCACGGATGGCCCCGTGAGGGTCCTCTGTGGCTCGGGGCAGCTCGAGGCGAGAGAGGGATGAGAGGAGGGAGAGGGACGCAGGGACGTGGGTGAGAGAGGTGAGGGTGAGGGAGGTCAGGTGTGATAGGGACGCAAGGCCGAGATGTGGCGTTGGAGAGGGTGGGGGGGTAGAAAGGTGTGGTGGGAAGAGATGCGCGGTGGGAGTGAGTGGAGTGGGAGGGGCTGTAGACGAGGGAGGGGGGTAGACGAGCGTGTTAAAATCAGTGTTGAAATTGGTGTGAAGATCGGTGTTGAGGTGTGTGAGGCGGGAGAGGGTCCAGAGGGAGGTGAGGGGTGAGGCACTTGGGGCGTGCACGTCGGCATCGTGCAGCAGCAGCATGAGCGAGCGGAGAGAGGCGTGCAAGCCATCGAGGAGGCTTGGTGACACGCTAACAACGCTGCTGCTAGTGGTGGTGGTGGCGGTGGCTGCACCACGGGGCGAGCTGAGGGCGAGCAGAGAGAGGGAGGAGAGGCAGGAGAGGTGGCGGAAGAGACCCGGAGAGAGCATCTGGCGGTGGAAGCTGGCGAGAGCAGTGGGACACTCGAGGCAGAGTGAGAGGGAGAGCGAGGCGAGGCGGGAGAGGTGGAGAATGGGCGTAGGGATGGAGCCTGGGAGCGGGAGAGAGAGGTGAGTGAGGTGGGAGAAAGCGGCGAGGGTGGTTGTGGAGAGGGAGAGGAGGCAGGAGAGATCTGGGCCGTGCAGGTGCAGCGCTCGCAGGTTGGGGCAGCCGTGCAGCAGACCCTGCACGCCCTTCTCTACCTCTCTCTGCTCCATGGCTAGCGTGCGTTTCTGCATGCGGCTGTGGAAGAGGCGAGGGCACGCGAGCTCCCCGTGGCGGCACAGCAGGTGGTGCTGCCTGGGAGCGCGGCGCTGGTAGTGCGTGCCGCCGCCGCCGCCGCTGCTGCTGGTGCGTACGAGGTGCTGCGAGTGCCAGTCCACAGTGACCTCCACGTGCACACAGCGCAGCGTGGCGCTGCACTGCAGCTGCCCCAGGCCGCACAGCAGGCTGCTCAGCTGAGCCGGCGACACGAGCACGTCGCAGGGGAGCGGGTAGTAGCGGCTGCTGCGTGCACTGTTGTCGAGGCTGACGGTCAAGGTGGACCAAGGGGGGGAGGAGAGGAGGGGTAGGTGCAGCGACGTGAGGTTGGGGTAGCGAGAGAGAGCGTGCTTCCAGCTTGTGACACTGTTGCCCGGTGTCAAAAGCGATGTGCATGGGAAGGGCATGTCGCACTGCAGTACCACTGAACTCAGCACCTTCCCCCATCCGCTCCCATACCCGTCACTGCTGCTGTTGTTGCTGCTGCTGCTCGCGTTGCCTCCTGCTTCCGCCTCTTCCCCCCACCCCCCTCGCTCCCCACCCCCCGCACACCAGGCAGTGCTGCCACTGGCGCAGCTGCCACACCCCTGGTTGGCGCACAGGCGGAGGGAGGGCGGGGGGAGGGGCGCAGGCGAAGGGTCCAGCAGGGGGAGCTGGATGGCTGCAGGATTGCACTGGTCCGAGGAGAGGGCGGGGGGGTGGTGGAAGGAGGGGCGCCAGGAGAGGGAGTCTGGGTGGAAGCGGAGGGAGAAGGAGCGGACGGCGTGTGTGAGAGAGTGGCGCCACTCCCTGTTCACGCACATGGCTCGTGCCACGTCTTCCCCTGTGCCCAGCAGAGGCACCAGCGGCGCCAGTGCCAGTGTGGGGAAGGCCGCTGCTGCTGCTGCTGCTGCTGCCTCTGCCTGCGTCCTGCTCGCTTCCTCGTCCGTTCCATCCTTTCTCACTCCCTCTACTGTTCCTTCCAACACTGCTGCTGCTGTGTGCTGTTCCTGCATCACCTGGCCCTCATCATAGCCGTCTGCCTGCTGCTCGTTTACAAGAATCCTCACCTGCCCGTTCCCGTTCACCCCAACCCTCCGCGCTTCACTACCCCCACGACCTGCCTCGTCACCTCCGTGCGCCTTCCCAGCCTTGTCGTCGCCCCGCCTCCGCTCTGCCAGTCCTGCAGCCCGCCCCCTCGCCCCTTTGCCTTCGTCATCCACCGTCCCGCGCTGCTCCAGTGCCACGCGCCACGCTGCAGCCGCCTCTTGCGCAGCTCTCTTCATTCGCGCCGCGGCAGCAATCTGCTCCAGAAGCACCCCGCCACGAGTGTGGTTACCACCATCAGCGACATCAGCATCGTCGTCATCATTCTCCGCGCTTGTCACTGCGCCTCCGCCGCCCCGCCACTGACACTGTTTGCGACTGCCGCTGGTGACGCGGTGGCCCCCTGCGGAGGCTTCAGCTCCCGGCGCGCGCACTCGCCCGCCACTTGCGCTGAGAGTTGCGCCCTGAAGCTCGATGTTCGGCCGCCGCCTGTCCGCGCGATCCTTGGGAATTCCGCGACCCGCGCCGCTGCCGCCGGCGCGATTCCCGCCGCCGCTGCCGCGGCATCCACTCGACGCCACGTGACTAGGCGCGGCGCCACTCCTCTCTCGCGCCATTGCCGACGAGACGACTCAGCAGAGCACCGCTTTTGAAAATCCGCGGCCCTAGTAGCGCGGCCTTGCTGGGGGAATAGAGGACGAGAGGAGGTGGTGGGGGGAGGGACGGAAAGAGCGGGGACAAAGTGGCAAAAGAGAGAGAGCGCGTTCAAGCTGAGACGACGGAAATGGAGACTCGCGGTTGCTGAAATACGCGTAATTTCGCCGCGAGAAGACAAGGAGATTATAGGCGATTGGGGAACGAGCGCGCGATTGGGGACAATCAGCACGCTACGACGAGCATGCGAGTGGAGTTGCCATGGTGATTTGATATCTCAGTGCGCGGCATACCTTGAGATGGGCTCGAGGAGACGCGATGCAAACTATAAGAGCTGCTAGTGCGGTCCGAGAGAGTGTGGGTAACGAGAGGTTGCTTCGACGCGGTCCGCACTGAATTCAAATACTGATACTAGGCGGTGATACCTTCTGGTAGTACTGATGAATCGAATGTCCAGACTCTGCAGAAGGGGCAAATTTATTATTCACTTCTGAATTGTGCTGCTCTGGTCCTCCTGACTCCTGCCTCGTTCTGTGCACAGCACAAGGCAAGAGTCGCTGGAGTCGCTGGAGTCTTGCCGAGTAGGAAAGGCGTGCAGTGCAGTGCGGAGCAGAGCAGGGTTGACTGCATCAAGTGCGCGGGGTCGGTGGTGGATAGATCAGACCGTGTGTGACTTTGAACCCCGAACCCCCTGAACTGATAAAACTAGCCGAACCTCCCATTTGCTGCCTTTCTGTTCAGACCTACTGTTACGAGTGCAATTGAGTGAGCGAGCTAGAATTGCACTATCTAAGCAAGAGTACAATGAGCGAAGAAAATATAGCGAAACTACAGTGGTAACGGTAATGAACTGTGGTTGTCGCGCGACGGGCCTGGGACTGAGGTTTGGAGAATTGTCGAAGCGGAGGCCCGGAGCGCGGGATACCCGCCGAGCAGTGAGGTCGGGGTGCGACGTGCGAAGGTGGCGGGAGGATTGTCGATGCGATGGTTGCGAGTGGTAATGGTACTGACTATGGTGCTACAGTGGTGTACGAGCTGAGCGGGGACGCGAAGAAAGGAAGAGGAATTTTCCTTACACTACCCCCCCCCCCCCCCCCCCCCCCCCCCTAAGGAGGTCCTCCTTACGAAAGTGCGTGTACATCCCTGAAGTTTCTGCTGCGCAGATACTCTGTGAGGACGGGGTGGTTTTCGATTCTGTCGAGAGGAACCCAGTTGTCCTTGGTGGGTGTACGGTCTTTCCAGCGGATTAGGAACTCGATTCTTCGGGCTCCTCGAGGGTCACGAACTCTGTGGCTCACAATTTTCTCGGGGTTGATCATTGGTTCAGTCGGCAGTCGTGTCATGCTGGCGGGCCGATTGCGTGCCAGTTGGCTTATGGACGGGACGTAAGGGCGAAGCAGGGTGACGTGGAATGAGGGGCCGACGTACCAGTCGGCGGGGAGGAGGAGGTGGGCGGTGACGGGCGTAATCATGTGGCTAATGCGGAACCTCTTTGAAGATTAGAACGAGAATGGATGACTAAGGAATGAAAGAGATACAAATATGAAACCCTAGAATTGTGTATCCCTTAGTGTCTAACCCGCTACAGCCTACACAGGCCAAATCATATAAGTTTGACACACCCCCATAGGCAAAGTGGGGGAGAACAAGGGGTCACAAGACCAGTCAACCAAAGCAAGGCAAAGCAAGCTCAGGGTGGATCACAACGTCACCATACACTCTAAGCACAACTCAAGGCCACAAGGCCAGTTCACATGCATGATTACATATATATAACGCTAAACAAGCAAGAGCAGGTACACATATATATATGTAACAGTACAAGCAAGGTCAAGAGGTGAGCAAGTGAGGCAAGGTAGGCACAAGACCTAACAGAGTACAGAGCACTGATGATCACAAGGCGCGAGTGCCTTGGTGAAGATATCAGCAGTGTTGGCCTCAGAGGCCACGTAATCAAGACGCAGCTGACCGCGCTACTGTAGCTCACGAGCAAGAAAGTAGCGAAGAGCGATGTGCTTCGTTCTGTGCTCCAGTCCGTGCTCCGACACAAGGCCAGCATGGCCTTGTTGTCTACGTACAGAACTGGAGGAGAACAAGGCGGCTCTCCTAGGTCAGTCAGCACGTAGGTGAGCCAGCGTAGCTCCTGTGCAGCCATGGCCACTGCGTAGATCTCAGCCTCACAACTGGAGCCGAGAACAGAAGACGAGCGGGTAGACCGCCACGAAACAGAGCCGGAGCCAAAGGCTAACCCTGTGACGACCGCTGCAGAGCCTGGTCGTCAGCAAAAGAAGCGTCAGCGTGACCTGTGAGGACCACTCGACGTCGCCCTCCAAACACTAGCCCCATGCCTGATGTACTCCACACGTAGCGCAACACCCTCTTCGCTGCAGCCATGTGCTCTGGTCGGTGTCTCCTAGGAGCAACGTAGCGTGCCAAGATGCTAAGAGGGTATGCAAGGTCAGGTCGTGTGCTGGTCATCAGGTACATGAGGCAGCCAACAAGCTCTGAGTACGGGCCACTCGACTGTATGGACTCATCCGAAGGTAGAGGTGAGAGCGAGTGGCAAGTGTCAGAATCCCAACCACTAGACCATTGGGATAAAAGGGCTTGTTTAAGTAGCGGGTCAGTGCGCCCATAACCCCCCAGGCAACCGTGCCTGTAACCCTTCCCTAGGATCAAACGGGGATCACCAGTGGACCTCTGATACCCCCCCTCACTGGGATGCCCGAAGTGCTCACACCGGGATTCGAACCCAAGACCTTTGCTCTGGATACCATCTCAGAATCCCAACCACTAGACCATTGGGATAAAAGGGCTTGTTTAAGTAGCGGGTCAGTGCGCCCATAACCCCCCAGGCAACCGTGCCTGTAACCCTTCCCTAGGATCAAACGGGGATCACCAGTGGACCTCTGATAGCAAGTAGACAGAGGAGTGGCCTGAGGCGAGGAGTACGTGAAGCCGAAGCGCTGAAGGACCTGCTGCACCATGTGTGACTGAGTCAGGGTAATGGTGCGCTGTGCTCTGTCCCGGGTGATCTGCAAGCCAAGGTAGCTGCGCAGTTCACCTAGGTCTGTGCACGTGTGTCTCTTCTGCATCTCCGACTTCACGTGGGCGAGTCCAGCAGTGTCAGCAGTGGCAAAGACCAAGTCGTTGAAGTACACGAGGATGTAGAACGGCGGCAGAGTGGTGTCGGTGCGCATAAACAGCGACGGGTTGCCTGTAGAAGGAGCAAACCCAAGAGCCGCTAGTGTAGTTCTCAGTGTGTCGTGCCACTCACGGGGCGCCTGGCGGAGACCGTAGACTGGCCGCCGGAGGCTCCACTGGGTACCAGGACGAAAAGACCCAGTGAAGCCAGGAGGGCGGCGCAGCCTGATCTCCTCGTGCAGGGTGCCCTGCAGGAAAGCTGTGCTGAAGTCAAGAGACTGAAGCTCGTAGTCGCGCTAAGCGGCTATGTGCTGAGAAGAGTTTGAGCAAGAATGGATGAACTGTGAATGAACTGAGTACAAGTACTAACCCTAATTGGGTTGTACCCCTTATGGTCTACCCCACTATAGCCTACACAATATGCAAAAGCTATATGTTCTGACACACCCCCATAGGCAAAGTGGGGGAGAACAAGGGGTCACAAGACCAGTCAAGCAAAGCAAAGCAAAGCAAAGTAAGCTCACGGTGGATCACAAAGTCACCACACAGTCCGAGCACAAGGTCAAGGCCACAAGGTCAGTTCACATGCAGGAGTAGACATATATATAAAAGGCTAAACAAGCAAGAGTAGGTATATATATATATATGCAAGAGTACAAGCAAGGTCAAGAGGTGAGCAAGTGAGGCAAGACTGGGACAAGTCCCAGCTGAGTGCAGAAGCGCTGATGATCACAAGGCGGAAGTGCCTTGGTGAAAACATCAGCAGTGTTGGCCGCATAGGCCTCGTACGCAAGTCGTAACTGACCACACTGCTGCAGCTCAGGAGCAAGAAAGTAACGGAGAGCAATGTGCTTCGTTCTGTGCTCCAGGCGCTGCTTTCGACACAAAGCCAGCATCGCCTTGTTGTCGACGTACAGCACTAGAGGAGAACGAGGCGGCTCTCCAAGGTCAGTCAGCAGGTAGGTGAGCCAGCGAAGCTCCTGTGCAGCCATGGCCTCGGCGTAGATCTCAGCCTCACAACTGGAGCCGAGAACAGAAGACGAGCGAGTAGCCCGCCACGAAACAGAGCCGGAACCAAGACTAAAGGTGTAACCTTGCGACGACCGCTGAGTAGCCTGGTCGTCAGCCCAAGAAGCGTCCGCGTGCCCAGTGAGGACCACTGGACTCCGCCCTCCAAGCACTAGCCCCATGCCCGACGTACTGCACAAGTAGCGCAACACCCTCTTCGCTGCAGCCATGTGCTCTGGTCTGTGTCTCCCAGGAGCAACATAGCGTGCAAGAATGCTAAGAGGGTATGCAAGGTCAGGTCGTGTGCAGGTCATCAGGTATATGAGGCAGCCAACAAGCTCTGGGGTACGGGCCACTCGACTCTACCGACTCATTCGAAGGCAGAGCTGAGAGCGAGTGGCGAGTAGATAGAGGAGTGGCCTGAGGCGAGGAGTACGTGAAGCCGAAGCGCTGAAGGACCTGCTGCACCATGTGTGACCGAGTCAAGGTAATGGTGCGGCGTGCTCTATCCCGGGTGATCTGCAAGCCAAGGTAGTTGCGCAGTTCACCCAGGTCTTTGCACGTGTGTCTCTTCTGCAGCTCGGACTTCACGTAGGTGACTCCAGCAGTGTCAGCTGTGGCAAAGACCAGGTTGTCGACGTACACGAGGATGTAGAACGGCGGTAGAGAGGTGTCGGTGCGCAGAAACAACGACGGGTTTGCAGTAGAGGGAGCAAACCCAAGAGATGCAAGCCTAGTCCTCACGCTGTCGTGCCACTCACGGGGCGCCTGGCGGAGACCGTAGACTGGCCGTCGGAAGCTCCACTGGGTG